GCGTCGAGATAAGATTCTTGGTTTTTATCAGCAGTTAAAAAGAACGTTGGATAAAAATAATGACTTTATGAAACTGACCAGAATCAATTTACATCATCTGGATAAGACTAAACTTTATTATTTTTACGGGTTAGCCAAAGTACACAAAAAAGATTTTCCTAGATGTGCACCAGACATTAGACCATTAGTTGCGTGTGTTAATACACTTATTCCTGGTCTGTCGAAATGGTTCCACCATCCCTTCTTATATCAGGAATTCTGGTAATATCCTGACTGCTATTCAGGGTACCATTTTGTCGTCTCATCATGAACTAATGTCTTTAGATATTTCAGCCTTATATACTTCCACTCCCCCATGGAAGCATATAAAGAGATTAAAAAATATATTCTAGAGTATTTTGTACCAATTCATGGTGGTTTGTTTGTAGAAGCTCTTCGTTTAATTCTGAGTACTGGTTATTTTGAATTCTATAATAAGCTCTACATTCAAACGAACGGAATTCCTATGGGAATCCAGCAGCCCTCAGTATAGCAACCCTTTATGTTGCTTACTATGAATCTACCAAATTATACCCTCTTTTAAAATCCAATCTCATCTTATATAAAAGATACTTGGATGATGCATTGGTGATTTTAAAAGATAATGGGAGATTCTTAGAGAAAAAAATGCTGGCCATCCTTAACAGTATCTCTGGTCCAAAATGAACCAAAGAATCTATGAAGGATGGTAAATTACAATTCCTGGACATCTGTATTCATACTGATGGTAAGATGGTATGGACAACATCGGCGGAAAAGGATACAAATTTATTTTTATATTCTACCCCTCATTCGGCACATCCGCCAGGAGTTGTAAAAGGTATGGTGAGAAGCTTAATTTCTAAATATTACCGACAAAATTCTTTTCGCGAGGATTTTTTATCATGTTGTAACAAACTTTTTGCAAGGTTAATGGAGAGGGGACATTCCAAAAAAAGATTATATGTAATATTTTGATACGCTTTCTCAATATTATCTAAAGAGGAGAACAACGATAACAACCATACCTTTACGAAACGTTTCTTTTTTCATATCCGATATGACCCGAACGGACCGAGGCGAAGTTGGACTAGAAATGCGCTCGCTACGAATGTTATATCAGCTATGACAAATAATTGCCCTATAACGATTGGATATTCCGGACCTCGGAATATCAATGAATTATTGGGTTCGAATCGTTTCGTAAACTCGGAAAGTGGAGCATTATTAATTAGAAAAGGAGGATAGCTAGCTAGCACTGATTCTTTTTTATAATGTTCCTAAACCTAATATTAAAGTCATATGCTTTTTTATATGAAATGTTCCCGAACATTTCTAATTATTCTGGAAACCACTTTCCGAGTATAAACATGAAAAGGTATATAAGAGGTTCAAAAGCCCTCTTCTAGAACTTTTCGCTTTTTCGCTTACCACGTGCCCTCAAATTCCACTGAAGAAGCCCCGGCAGCAGAAAGGATCCTGATTCAAGATACTTTTTTGAACAATCAGTCAAGCTTGATTCAAGGACACCTCTGGAGATTTTAGCGAAAAACTTTTATTAATAAAACTATTCTATACCGCATACGAAAGTTTACTGATAAAAGAAATAGTTTGAGTATCTTCAAGAAGCTTTATGATAATTTTTGTTTGCAAAGATTATCATAACATCTAACCCTAACCGAAACCTATTGAAGATTCTCTTAAAGGAACATTTTTTTTTTCAAAAGGAAGATGGAACTGCCGCTCTTCAACAAACTGATAGAGGAATTGTATGATGAACGTCTACAAGAGTGGAAGAAGTTAAACAAAGAACTCTTAACCTCTCTTTCAGTCAAAGAGTCCATATCTATACATTTAGCGAGCCGAACAGCTCCTAAAGCCTTCTTAATCACAACAACCGTGGTTGCAGGTAAAACGCTTTCGAATGCGGTGCCCAATTACCAGGATAATATGGACAAGGAAATCCTTCTTGCCCAAGAGGAATACTATAAAAAGTTGAACTCTATTCTCCTAAAAATCGAAAGCGATAAATCATCTCTTCTCCAAAAGAAAAGAGATGAAGTAATCTCAAGTTTGGAGCAAGATCACAACCAAGTCATGGTCCTGACAGATAAGATGCCTCCAAACATAAAGAGTCAACTCTACATCGAACTACAAAATAGTTTGAAGCAATTCAAAAATCAAACCCAAAACCTCGCCTTGCACCACTCGTTCGGTGAGATTAGGAAAAGAATAAGAACTAGCAAATTAAATCAAGGAGTGACTCAACTGTCCAAAGATTTGAAACAAGATCCTCACACAGCGCTTACATCTGAATTGACTGACATAAGGAAACGAATGTTGGAATTAGAATTAAATCAAGGAGTGACTCAACTGTCCAAAGATTTGAAACAAGATCCTCACACAGAGCTTACATCTGAATTGACTGACATGAGGAAACGAATGTTGGAATTAGAAATAAAGATGAAGGATGTGTCAAAAAACTTTGGAACGGGAGGACAGGCAAACTCCCGTATAAAAAAGCCTCTTCCATCATCTTTGTCAACCAAAAAAGAAAAAGAAAAGGGGATTCCAGACGTAAGAGTGGACATCAAAGACGCAAAGCGAAAGCCAAACGTCTCCGGCAAGAAGAAGAAAAGGAATCCTTTATGGAAGCAGCGCCAAAAAGACGCAACTTCCGTAAAGAAAACCTTCAGAAAAGGAGAAAGTATGTCCAATTAATTTTAGACAGACAAAAGGTGTTAATCACGAAAGCATATGTCAAAAACTATGCCTTCCATGACTTAACACCTGAGGGGACTATGATACCTTGGAATCTGAAAACCACTATTAGTCTAGGACTCAAGTTTTGTCCTACTCCTCCTGCTCTAACCATGAAAGACTATGAATATGCTTTTGACAACATGACGAGAGGGATTCACTTAGCATTCCAACTTGCGGATTTCTCTAATAATTTTGTCAAAACCAATATTTATGTGCCGAACAAGTCTTTCATACCGGACAACGTCCCCGAAGAGGTTATTGATACTTTCGGATGTCTGAAAATTAACTTTTTAGACCAGGATCGAGATTTCTACAAAAATAGGAAACTATTCAGATGGAATTTAGAATCTGGGCAAAGAGTTTTCTTAAAAGAATTTAAGGATAACAAACATCCGAAAGTCATCAATACTGATAAAAACCAAGGTCCTGCATTAATGACTACAATGCAGTATGTAAATTGGTGTTGCGACCATTTACAGATAAATGCTTATCTCCAAATTCAGAAGTGCAATAAAGAGGAGATATTGACAATGTGTCGAAATAAGATCCTTGGTTTTTATCAGCAAGTAAGAAGAAAGATGGGTAAAAAAATTGAGTTTATGAAACTGACCAGAATCATCTTGCATGATCTGGATAAGACTAAACTCTGTTATTTTTAAGGGTTAGCCAAAGTGCACAAAAAGGATTTTCCTAGAACTACACCAGACATTCGACCATTAGTAGCATGTGTGAATACACCTGTTACTGGTCTGTCGAAATGGTTACACCACTATCTACTACCTATAGTAGAGACCACCCCTTCTTATATCAGGAATTCTGATGATATCCTGACTGCTATTCAGGGTACCATTTTGTCATCTCACCATGAAATAATGTCTTTAGATATTTCAGCCTTATTTACTTCCATTCCTACTATGGAAGCATTTAGGGTGATTAAAAAAATATATTCTAGAGCATTTTGTACCAATTCATGGTGGTTTGTTTGTAGAAGCTCTTCGTTTAATTCTGAGTACTGGTTATTTTGAATTCTATAATAAGCTCTACATTCAAACGAACGGAATTCCTATGGGAATCCAGCAGCCCTCAGTATAGCAACCCTTTATGTTGCTTACTATGAATCTATCAAACTATACCCTCTTTTAAAATCAAATCTCATCCTATATAAAAGATATTTGGATGATACATTGGTGATTTTGAATGGACAATGGTGGATTCTTAGAGAAAAAGATGCTGGCCATCCTTAACAGTATTTCTGGTCTGAAATGGACTAAAGAATCTATGAAGAATGGTAAATTACAATTCCTGGACATCTGTATTCATACTGATGGTAAGATGGTATGGACAACATCGACGGAAAAGGATACAAATTTATTTTTATATTCTACCCCTCATTCGGCACATCCGCCAGGAGTTGTAAAAGGTATGGTGAGAAGCTTAATTTCTAAATATTACCGACAAAATTCTTTTCGCGAGGATTTTTGTATCATGTTGTAACAAACTTTTTGCAAGGTTAATGGAGAGGGGACATTCCAAAAAAAGATTAAATGTAATATTTTGATACGCTTTCTCAATATTATCTAAAAAGGACAACAACGATAACAACCATACCTTGACGAAACGTTTCTTTTTTCATATCCCATATGACCCGAATGGACCGAGGCGAAGTTGGATTAGAAATGCCCTTGCCACGAATGTCATATCAGCTATGGCAAATAATTGCCCTATAACGATTGGATATTCCGGACCTCGGAATATCAATGAATTATTGGGTTCGAATCGTTTCGTAAACTCGGAAAGTGGAGCATTATTAATTAGAAAAGGAGGATAGCTAGCTAGCACTGATTCTTTTTTATAATGTTCCTAAACCTAATATTAAAGTCATATGCTTTTTTATATGAAATGTTCCCGAACATTTCTAATTATTCTGGAAACCACTTTCCGAGTATAAACATGAAAAGGTATATAAGAGGTTCAAAAGCCCTCTTCTAGAACTTTTCGCTTTTTCGCTTACCACGTGCCCTCAAATTCCACTGAAGAAGCCCCGGCAGCAGAAAGGATCCTGATTCAAGATACTTTTTTGAACAATCAGTCAAGCTTGATTCAAGGACACCTCTGGAGATTTTAGCGAAAAACTTTTATTAATAAAACTATTCTATACCGCATACGAAAGTTTATTGATAAAAGAAATAGTTTGAGTATCTTCAAGAAGCTTTATGATAATTTTTGTTTGCAAAGATTATCATTACATCTAACCATAAACATGAGTAACTGAGATTACAAGTAAATTTTGGAAAGAAACTGAATTTTGATAATTTTTATAAGAAATGGTTTTTCTTTTACTTGAAAGATAAGTTCAAGCAACGGCCTTTTGGAGTGAAGTGTGCAGGGTTAGTGGAAAAGTAGACGAGTGAGTAACGATCGCCGCTGGTGTGAGGACGAACCCAATGACAGAAGCGGCCTAAAAAACATTAAAATATATAAAAAAGTTCAGAACGTACAAAATTCTACGAGACCGTCAAAGCAGACTAGTTTGAAGCGAGTGTCAATTATGTAAATGTATCTTTTATTTTCGCCCAGATTTGCTTGCTCTTTTACGGATCCGAAGCAAAATCCAGCGGGAAGAAACTGACTTTCAATCGAAGTTGTGTGCTCTTCTAAGCACAACTGACCTGGCAAAAGCGGCAAACGCGTGATTTATGAAAATAGTAATTTTTTAAAAAAATATTACTGGAGACCATTTTGATAATCCCCTAAGGAAAACGCGTACTGGAAAGTGGCGTCCTGCGCATCCGTGTGGGGCGAGCCCACAAGTTTTTGGTGAGGGCCAGGTGGCTGTACTATACTTAAACTTAGTACTGATCAAAGCGGACTAAAATTAAATATGCCATAACGAAACTTTGATAGCCGGAACAGTTTCCTTTATAAATGCCTGCGCCAAAATTTGTAATCTATATAACAATTATAATTGCGTTATAAACTTTGATGGTGGTTAGATTTGACTGAAAAAATAAAAATAGGTTTTAATTATATATTAAATTCATCTTTTTTAGGGTCAAACCCCAATAAAGTATACCTCCTCCAAGCATCATCTTCATATAACTTATTAAGCGTTAAGCACAACATATCCATCCGCAATAATCCAATTAAAATAAAAAAGGATGTACAAGGGAAAAAGTAATTAATATCGATGCTTTTGTATAAAAAACTTTGTTCCTTAAAAGTTTTGAGGGCCAATTAAAAATAATCAGCTCCTTCAGTAACTCAATTAATCTAGAAATTTTCCCAGTCAAGGTGCCAGCGAAGTATAGTGTAGAGCAATTTACAAGGGATTGTTCCTATGAAGAGGAAGCCCTTCACAAGGAAAGTAGCAAGTCGACGAGGGAACCTACGCATTGGTGAAATTAAAAGTAAAATAATTTATATAAATAATAAAAAAACTTAACAAATTTAAATTAGAGTTAAAAAATATTGAATTGACTTTCTAAGAAAACGAACAGTTTCATAGAACTCAGCCAGCTGCTCCCGGGGAGGTACGCTCAGCAAAGGGCCCACCCCGAGTGAAAATAGACGAGCTTGAATTTCCGAATCACTTAGAGGATAAAGTTGAGCCAAAATCGGAGGATCGCTGGAGTTATTAAAAAAGTTTAACAAAAAAAATTAAAAAATAAAAAGGATCCACGAATCATCCGAAAGAAAGCCGGCGGAAACTAAAAAGATTGATTTCATTGAAGCAGAAACGACCCTTGCAGATTCGTTGATTGTGTAAATAAAAATTTCAACTTATTTAAGTTTAATTACTTTTTATAAAAAAATACTTAAACACTTTTTATAGTTTAAGTTAATCTTTCCGAAAATAAATAAAATGTACAGCAGAAACCTCAAAGTGAAGGTTTCATCTACAACAACGCCGTTTAAAAAGATTTGAGCCCTCTATATTTTCAAAAATGAGGAGATTGTATAATCTTTAAAAAAAAGTATTTTATAATACTTTTGCTTCCTGTGGGCTTTCAAAAGTAAGAATTGCGTAGCCAAACCAGGAATTTTCTAAATACATCCGTTATTATAATTATTTAATAAATGCTAAAAAGTACCTCTAGTAAAGCCTGCTTTAAAAGACTTCTGTTGCACTATATAATTATCTTGACATTTCTTTATGTTCCCACGATAACCTTAACAAGATAAATACAGTCAAAAGACTAATTTCAATTGAAAAAACTTTTAACGAACTTGAAAGAAATAAAAGGAGGCTATTTTGTGTGCAATTTTTAGTTGTTGAAGGCTATATAAAAATCTTAAAACCTTTTTTGTTTAAGTTTCTAATGTAGGGTTTAATAAAAGATTCTCCTGAAAGGCTAAGCCTTAAAAATAGCTTATCTAAAACCTGTTTATTAAATAATATTAATTATTAAAATGAAAAATATTTAAAAGGTTTTAACAGTAACTTCATATATGTAAAATAGTAAAAACTTGTACATATATATTATTATTAGATACAAAATAAACTTGTTAAAACTTTATTATAATTAAAACCTTAACACTTGCATATTTGGGTGGAATATCACCTAACAAAAGCTCATAGTCTTCATTGTCTTTCATACTTGTAACAAAACTTCTATGAAAAAAAAAGGAAACCTATAAACTTCTTTTAAGTTCAATATTATTGTTATGGGTCCTTGATCACGGAAGCTTATACAATATAATAAATTTAGTTATTTTAGAAATGGGGATATACGGGGAATAGCTCACAACTTGTACTTCAAGCAAACTCACTTTGCCACGTTACAAAAGTTTAAATAGTTAAGTGTGAAAACAATACCAACTCTTTTACTCGCTCTCTTGGGCCTTTATTTTTAAAATAAAAAGTTTTTATACATATTACCGTTAAATTTAGATTAAAAGCCTATATATATCAAACTTTTAAGTTGACTGAGGGAAATTTAGATCTGTCGCTAGCGGAGTTCTCGGAACTATCTAACATACAGGCACAGGCTTAATAAAAAAAGAATAAAGAAGACTGCCTAAAACAAAGACAGTATTTGAAAAATACGTCGCAGATAATAAATAGTTACGTTATTTTTTGGTAGTGAGAAGTATTCTGTAGACTAAAAATTTCTTGACATCTTGTTGAATAACTAGACTAAATTTTATTACTAATAGCATCCGGTAAAGCCTATGTGTAGTAACTAACATGTAAAGCAAGGTTTTAGCTTATCGCTTGATGTCAGACAACTTTACTATTATAACCCAGGTTTTATTTTAAGGGGTATTTAAAACTTAAAAAATTTAGAAGTCCTCATACAAGAAAGGGAATGTGCAAGCTAACATCTTACCTAAGCAGGAAAGTACAATAACGCAGTGACATTCTAGCTTGCTATCTCTATATAAATCACACTAATTCTTAAAATATTACAACTTTTAAAAGTCTTTACAAGCAATTTCCTTTACATGAACAAAAAGATTTTAAAACCGGGTGTAAAGGTGTATACTTTAAAATCGTTTATATATTAAACATATAAAACACACTTCTTCATCTACCACGTAGACTTGAATGCCTAATAAATAAAAATATATTGTAAGCCGTAAAATCACTATCTTTTAGAAATTATGGAGTTTGTGAAGTCAACATGCCCTTTAAAGTTTTTATCAGTTAAGAAATGTAAGAAAAAATCAATATTGTGTTTATACAAAGGTAGCATTTCCTATTTTTCTCCATTCTCAGTTATATGTAATAGGTTGCAGGAGCTAGATAGCTTGGGTTTAAGTTATGTTAGAGAAGCGCGGTTCGAAAGGACTACTCTTAAAAATGATTAAAACTTCGAGTAGATCCAAGACTTGAAGGAGGTGAAATCTTCCCTGTATCTGTAAGCGTTAAGTTTAGCTAACTTCATTGTCACGAGAACTGATGCTCATCAGATGGCTTGGTTTGTTTTATAATTTGAGCTAATTAACTTGGTTCATAAGGCTGAACAATGAGTACTAGCATTGCCCGCTGAACAGTCCACATTCTTATGCGGCCCTTAGGCAGATCAGTCGTAGCCAATCTCTTAACTCTTTATAGAAATACTGACGAAAACTGCTAAGTTGCATACTACACTACCTACACTACTATAATTGAAGGTTAGTACCAAAGACGAAACGCCGCTATGGCAAGATCTATATAATGAGTGATGTTTACTATACACTATCTCCTTTGTTCCGAAAGATGCAGTTTTTATTTAAATGACTGAGCTTGTAATAGTACTTGTGCTAATTTAAGCATGCGGCGCGGCTCTGGCAGAGCTCATTTTTTGGGCTTTGCTATGGGCTTAGATATATGTTTAGATTGGTACTAGTACTATATGTAGTGTATAGTACTATTACTATATATATTACCGCCCCGCTCCCACTTGAAATATTAGGAGTTTCTCTCAGAAGACGAGATAAGACAAGTACAAACAGCTTGTATAAAAAGAAATTTCCATATTTAGTATATCCCGGGAATAAAGAACTATCTGGATGCTAAATCCGTTCTACATAGCCTATATCTTCTACTCATCCTTGTAATTTCAAATAAACTAATTTTAAAACAATACATCCTAAAAGCTAGAATACCGCAAATCTGCTATATTTAAAAATCTATGAAGGTTTTTAAAAGATGTACATCGAAAGATCTGTAAAGGCGATTTGTTCGTCTTACTAGAGAAAAACTTATTTTGCTCCTTCAGGCTCACGTGGCTTTTAGCAGATTCGACCCTTAATTTTCGTATACTTTTTCAAAATTGCTACCTCTAAATTCCTCCGCGACCACTTTTAAAAGGCTGAGATATTCAACCCTAGCTGATGAACTGTCGGGCGATCATTTGCGAGAAAAAGGGAAAAGTGGTTTCTATTGTGATTAACTATTGCCTTATTTTCATCAGTAAAATTATAGTTTAATTTTTTGAGTTAACCAAAAAAACATTTTTACATTAATATTTTCTCGGTATTACTTTGCCGGGAGGCGACTTTCATTTGTTCTTTAGTTAAAAGGAAGTAAATAGAGATAAAATTTATTGATATTAAGAAGACATGAGCTATATGAGTGGTTCGTACTACGGACTTTCATGGGTTACCTAAAGAGACGGAGAGTTTTAAGACTGCTTGTTGTTTTCTTCCTAAACAGAAGGTACTCTAACGGTGTAGTAACGCAGAGTAGCGAGCATTAAGTGGAGTCTTTTTTAGCTGGTGCAATTCTCAGGACGAAAATTCCTTGTTTAGCTACTCGTGGTGACTTTGCGCTTACTTATAGCGCTTCCCTTGGTTTAAAACGGTGTCATAAACCTCGAAAAGCTAAGCAGCTGAATGGAGTTATCCCCTCGTACAACCAAAGAAAAAAAGAAGGCCGTTTATTTCTATGTTTTTATTAAAAAAAATTAAATAATAATGAGTTTCATTAATTTATTAAGTATTAAAATATAAAGCTTTATAGATTTCTGGAAGCAATAAAAAATATTTAGCATGTTTTTCTAGTCCCTCGACGTTTTTTAAATAATCTAAAAGAAAAGAGTGGGTTTTATTCCATGTCTCTTGGCTTACTTCCCCGCATGCATCCCAGTTTGCAAGTTTTACTTTCATATCATTATCGCACGTCAAACAGACGTAATCGTCCATTAAGAGGTTTAAATTATCAATACAGTTAGCATAAATCTCGTCATCTTTATTATATACTAGAAGGTCCTGACCTAATTTTTTTGTAAAGTTTACGAAGGCTTCAAGTTCTTCTAACTGTGTATTGTTACAACATGAAGAAATAGCATTTGGGCAATAACCACGAACAACGCACATGTCAACAGTGCACTCACTGCAATTACTAAAAGTTTTATTAAAGATCAAGTTGCAATGTTTACTATTGTCCCTACCACACGAGGCACGACGAGTTTGTGTAGAGGTTAAATTATCATTGCGATTATTAAACTGTCTTAAGGAAGTCAACGCTAGTAAGGATAGTGCAGCGCCTCCATAGAAAGAAGGCATTGATGGACTCTGCTAGATTTCTATAAAACTCTGCTATTTATATTGGAAGTTGAAAAGAAATAAACGACTTATAAAAGGTGTTAAAAATTTTTGGTAGCGACAAAGTTCTGGTGCGTTCTTCTATGGTGAAAACCTTAAATGATTTTAAAAAAACGCTATAATTTTACGGTCTTTTTATATGCTTCTCATGTTTTTATAGAGTAATATATTAAAAAGCTTCTTATTCAATTTTTATTTTTTATAAAGTACTATATTAATAGGCTTCTTATTCAATTTTTATTTCTTATGAAGTAATATATTAATAGGCTTCTTATTCAATTTTTATTTTCCATGAAGTAATATATTAATATTTTTACCACAACGTGAAGGATAAACTTGCTATTCAGAAACTTTGTGGCATAATATCACCTTCTTCTGGAACTTTCAAAGAAACTGCTGAGCAGTTTATTGGTGGACTTTCGTCTCTTGTGAAAATATCTGCTAAACTCCTCGCGGAAGTCAATTATCTTTTTAGCAGCGGATCTCCATTATATTTTAGTGAAATTATCAACTAATGAGGGAAAAATTTCCCAAGAGGGCTTTCCTTTCCTTTGGTTCGCTGAAAAAGTTATCTCATTCTTTATGACGCACACCTCAAAGTTTCCTGTGTCCCTGAAATAAAAGCTATTAGCCTTTTTGTCCCTTTTTTATTTCTATTGGTTATAAAGTTACCGCTGTTGCTCGGTCAGTTTTTTTCCTTTTTATTTTCTGTTATTAACATTACTGCCATTTGGGGATTTAGATGGCATTGGCCCCGTCGTTAACATATGGGTGTCGATTGTCTCTTTCGATTCTTTCAATTAAGGTTTCTTTGCTGCCATATAGTATTTAATATAATAATTACTTTTTTTTTTAGCAACTTTGTGCAGAATTTGTTGGGGTCAGGCGAAATTACGTGACCAGTTCATCTATCAAAGATCTGAACGTGTTTAGGCGTTTTTTTACCACTAAAGAGCTTTAAATGATTTCTATAGGAGATTTTTTACAGTATCTCTTTCTACATAATTTTACTATGTTTTAGCGCATTATTCAATTGTTTTTGTAAACATTCTAAAAGCATTCATGTCACCTTAGCCTGTAAAGCTTTGAGAGAAAGAAGTGTGTCGTAATTACGATAGATTTGATGTAATATTATTATTTAAAATTTGATTTGTTTTTAAAATAATCTTTAGGATGTAGAATTGAGTATACTTCAAGAAGAGTATAATATCACCGTTAAAGAAGATTCCTAATGGTTACATATATATATATATATGTTACTTAGTGTCCAAGTCCTTATCCAGCAAATAGAGCAATTGCGAGTGTGGGCAAATAATGCACGAATAACGGTGTAAAGACCAGTGCTTTGTATGTTAAACACGTAACAGAATTATTTAATAATTTTTGTAAATCTAAGGTAGAAACTAATCTTGAAGACAACCTAAAAACAAACTTGATAAGCATAGATTAAGTTAAGCAACACAGTGTGACTTTACATGGTTAAGTTAAACGACTGGGTGCACTATTCCACCTTAACTAAGGAAAATATATTGAGCGCCAACTCTTATATAATGGTTATGATAAAAAGTAAACAGATAAAGATAATTTTTGTAAATAGCTGGTAGGCCTACATGACAATAAGTTT